GGACAATAGTCCATGTGTGAAGCGAAAGGTAGATTGCAGCTCAAAATTTCAAGCGTAAACTCACGTAATGACAACATACTACTGAATCTGAGAAGTGAAATGAGTGCAAGCGATGTCCTGTCATTCAACTTACTTGCAGTAGGGTCCAGTTACGGAGATTTAAACAAAATTTCTCGAAACAAACCCACAACCCACCCTGTAACATTTTTTTGGTGATTTCATGTGAGAGAGTGCGTATGACTTACGTATTTAAGTTGTATGCATACAACTCACGCATATGAATAAGCCGTAAATACGCGGGAGTGCATGACCAGAAGAATACCTAACAGTCACATCATCGTCAGCCATCTTCTATGCGGTGACATTGAGATATGAATAGGGCGAAGTACTTTTATCTTGCACTATTTGAATGTCTTAATTAATGGCCAATAAGGACTGAAAAACCTAGCGAAGAGACCTTGCTAAACAAGCCTTGTAATTGTAGGCCTTAAATAATACGTACTTCCACAAGGTTTTTTTACGACTTGAAGTGAACTAAAAGCATTATCTCATCACTTCTGCTTAATAAGGAATGCCACAGTTTGAGGATAGAGATTACAATGGACCTTTTGATTAAGTGTGATCTACTAAAAACCAGTAACGGTAAGGTTTTAAATCTTATCTTGGAATAAGCTTTGTTAGTGGATAGAAGTTCGAAGGGAAGCAGATGGTAAAATATTTCGAACTAATGCGTTGGAAGACAGTAACACACATAATATAGTTAACAGTAAAGCATCAGCTGAAAAAATGAACTTGTTGATCGTAACAAACATATTTGAAAATATTTATTTTCATTAAATCTGAAATTAGCGAAATGACTGCAAAGGAGAAAATAACATCATTTAAACGTCACAAAAACAAATTATGATCGCTAGCCGCTTAATTGTTCGTACAGTTTGGGCACATAATCATCGTACTGAGCCTGAAATCCAGATAAAGCACTCCTCCCTAATTTTGATTTTATTCCCTTACCCTCAAACTGCTCTAAAATTTCACACCTTATATGACTCCTGAAATTGAATTAAATTTTAAGAGGTAGGAATAACCTGGTAGAAGTTACCAGCAACTGGACTTCCCAACTTGTGTCTCTTTGCAAAGTCAGTAATCTTGAAATTTCCGCGACCTTTGCCTGATCTGTTAGTAAGATGTCCATGTTCGATATCTACGATTTTCCCAGGCTGTTTGTAAACTAAGAATACATAACGATGAAGTCCTATAAATGAAATTGTTAGTGTTAGTACAGCGTTTCCAAAAATATTCAATTAAGAGACCAGTTATCTGAATAACTTCAACATATCTATTATTATCTACCTGGAAAAGACATTCATTTTCTAGGGTTTATGGAAATATAACATTCATTATTTACCTGTGCCTTGTGGCGGACCCGATCCAATGTATTCGGAAAGCACATCACCTTTGCTAACGTCTTGCCCAGGAATATTAGCTATCAACCTGTGAAAACAGATTTATGTCCTGAACACCTTTTCTAGTATTGCGAACTTTTCATAGTAAATTTAAAACAGTTAAGTTATAAGAAATAAGCAATACGATGACGATCACCTACCAGTGGTGCCATTCTCTGAACTTAGGACTTTTTCGAGATGGCGCGTCTGGATCTGGAAATTTCAGTTCAGTTATTAGATTAATTTATAAAAGCTATAGTTAAAATCAATAACAGTAGTTTAAACGGCTGGATACCAGTCAGAACAAGTGTGTACAGGCTTTTAGCCTCCGCTTCCCATGATACTTTCGGCTCATCTTTCACTTGCGTCGGCGTAAGTTCATTGCCCAGATTCACCTAAATATTTTCTTGATAGTATTATTCTTTATCCTCACGAAATAATTAACATCATAAAATACGAAACAATTTGCGACAAATGCGAAAGCAGCTTTACTAAGTACACCCGTTACTGTCTAATCTTTTTGAATCCTTTGTTTTGAAAATGCTAAGATCTAATACCTCAAATTATCATCTTCATGAGTAAGGTAGACGATATAGTTGACGATAATTGGTAACTGTATGTATGTCGATCTTGATATATTCAACTAATACATTCACATATTTTCCGCATATTCTCCAAGAACTTACCTTAACACCACTACTGTAATCGACATTGATGAGCTTGGTGGGGACTGTTGATACAACGTCCGGCACAACTTGGTGCTTTCTGAATGCTTCCTCCACTGACACCATACAACTTTCTCTGAAAATAACACGATAACAAATGCGTTGCTACGTGGCTACGTGCTATGTTGTCGTTATGTGCTACGTCTTTTGAGTTGTCTTCCTCCTAGATATTTCGTCTCACTTCTCTTTAGAATGCCATAACTCAACGTCCAAATCAACGGTTAACATTGCCTTTCTTCGGATGTTCAGTTCAGAATCACAACATTCCCTTTCATTCCCATTTAAAATCCCATTTCAGCAGCGCAAAGTCATTATCCATTTCAGTTCGTCTTTCTTGACAAAAAAAAAAAGAAAAATTGAACTAAAAATACTTATAACTAGTGGTTATAATGCATCCAATGAAAAATAAGCAAATGATTGCCAGGATAACCCAGACTATTTCGTCAATTTCTGCTACACATCTCCAGACCGCAAGGCGACTGAAGTGCAGGTTTATTTAATAATCATCTGCTGAACAAACTTACCCTTCAACGGATTAAACAACTAATTTGACCGGGTTTAGTTATTATACCAGTAATTAGCGGACAACAGAAACTTTCCAGGCAAATGAAAGAATATAATGGTAAGTGAGGATGTTATCCAACCAAAAAATGCGAAAGTAAGGCGTTGACATGTTGTTAAGTTCAACAAAGTGAATGTGGCAGATACTATGCAGATGATAAAAACTCACTGTTCTGCGGATACCAACGCTACAGCGATCACTACTATCAAGCAATGCATTCTCGTGGACTATTGGCATGGAAAAAATGAACAGCCAATCCTGAACAGAATGATTTCCTTACAAACGGATTAACCATTCTCAAAGAAAGCGATCATTTGGAGGTCATATCATGTCAACTCAAATCATTTCACTAATCGATCAGATTAATTCAGGAAGGCAGCTTGCATACATTTATAGTATCAGACTTCATGAAAAGGTTCCTCGTCAGTGCATTTGCTATATTTGAGAGGGTGTAGCATTCAATGAGTTCAATCTTCAAATGATTTACGTCCAACGATGTATCAACGATATAGACCTTAACCTACTGAATTAATTTGAATACAGATGAATACAGAGTAAATCAATAACATCCCCTCCTCTACTTACTTTTATTCCGAGAAAACTTCTCTGATAACTTATAACAGCTCTTCTCCTCTTATTTCTTTCATCATAAAAGCTTCATAAGTTTATTTCCATCAATGAGGGCAATTAAGCCCGTCTACCAATCTCATAGCTATAATCGCCCTCATTAATGGAACTATCTCGAACCAATCCAACAAAGATTAAAGAAATGGAAAAAAAAAAAAAACAAAACAAAATAGGTTACTGGAAGAGGAAAATACCAAGCAATGAGAAGAAAGACCTATAATAAAAACTACGTAGAGAGAGAATTTTATATCATTTTCAAGATACCCGCAAGATTCTAATCAGTTGCTCATTTCTCATTTTCTTAAACTAGAAGTGATCCTGTTGTATCGGCAAAAGGTTATTGGTTATATTCATTCCTTTTCATTTCAACAATCTCATTTCATCTCATCGTCTCTTCATAAGCTGAAATCATTCTGAAATTGATCAGAATCGCTTTTATATTTTTATCAGTTGTTATCTGTTCAATATCTACAACATTCGAAATCATCCTCTCATTAACTGTTTTGTCTAGCTATATTTCACATCATTTTAACCCACCAAGTTTACCAATAATAAAAGCAGAGAAAAATACGGAATACTTTAGACGACAATTGGATTATCTCTGTCATTTTATCTGCACCTAATATTGCAGCTGGAAATTTACCTGCAAAGTTCATCATATTTCCCAAAATGGTCATTAATTATTGGTTAGCAAAACAAAAACAGAAAACGAGAAATAAGAGTCTGAGATACGTTACTACGTCCCATTCTTCATGTAATCATACTGTCCATTAAAACCGATCACTTCTCTGCTAAAATCAAGGTTTGGTATGAGATATTTAAAAGAAAATAAAAGAAATTCCTTCTTACAATAACAAAAAAGTCTGTTCCCAATCGTTTGCATGAAGAGTAAAGGTCAAAATACCAAATATCGAAGAAACCCGTAATCTTCTCACGCCTAAGATAAATTCGGCGAATAAAATTTGATAAAGTTATTTCGAGTTAGGTAAGGAAACATTGAAATTCTGTTGCAAACTGAATCGTTGCAAATCAACTCGTGACTATCATACGTAGAACAACGGACTATTAGTATCGTATGACAAGATGGTATTTGGCGAAACGAATGAGGCACGGCAGTGGCCATCGAAGAAGGAAATGTTGCCAACCACACTAGACGTCGAAGCTAAACTAATCTACTAGTTTAATGAACTGAGTTTGGGAAAGAGCGATGAACACGCGACATTACAATCCAAAATAGTCGGTCGTTTCAGGCATTCCATTCCGGAACAGCGAAGTACTTCAACTGTAAAAGTCTTCACTTTTACAGAAGAGAAAGCTTCCACAGACAATATGGAAATACACTAAATTATTTCGTTTTAGCTTTGATCATAATGAAGAGAATGGGATGCTTATTCAACGGTACCACAGTGCCAACTGATCCCTATTGAGATCAATTTCAAGAGTATCACTAAAAAGTGTACCTCAGCCAATTAAACCTTCGCTGTGTCACAAATGTGATACTGAAATGATGAGGTCTGAAGAAGACAACCGCCCAAGCAAACGACATACGCTAAATTACTCGTCAGCAAGCGATAGTGATATCGGGAATAGCAGCAAACAAAGATAGTGCCTCTGTACGTTCTGCTTTGCACATAAAGGCGGTTGGTTCAATTCAGATGATATAAACAAACAGAAAAACGACATACAACAAATACATATATATATACATAATGCAGTGCACTTCATATTCACATCTATTAGAAACTCATCTCATCTTATACTAATTTATGCATGATTTCAAACTTTCTTCCGGATTATTTATTAAAATTGGAAAAAGTTTCACCTAACTGCCCTGTTTAACAGCCGTTCAGAATGATTCGCCCTGTGTAGGCCTGAATTCTTACAATACAATTTGACATACAATCTTGTTAAATTTATCAAATTTCGACGTTAGAACAATATGCAAACATCGTATTAAGTCACGATCAAGTATTCAATTCAAAAAATGTCCTTTATCAAATAAATAATGACATCTGACGTGAACACTGCAAAAAATATGGCCCATAAAATAATAATCAGTTTATTTAAATAACACGGAAAAATCAGCATTACAATCTTGAAGTTAATTTAAATGAGACAACCTCTGCATACCTCTAACTTCTGTCCTCTCCTATTACCCACAATCCAGGAAACATCCACATGTTTCCTTCCATCATCTATTTCATCCTTACATTTGATCTTTTTGATTTCACCCGAATGAACAGTCTCGACGACATATTTGATAGATGTTAAAGATTTTCGCAGTCAAAGGTACCAGAATTTCCTGGTGCATTACAGCAGCTAAGCGACAGAATCGATCAGCGAATGGATCAACTATTACTGGAGAGCTTATATAGCCCGTATTTACTTCTGTTATCGACAACCAGTTATTAGTATCACTTATCGTTACTGCATCAAAATATTGTGTGCTAAATATCAGTTGAAGACAGAATGTCAAATTTCGAACCATATCTGAGCAAAGTTTTTAAAAAAATTGAAATGGTTATCATTTATCAAAGATGTTAACCAAATATTCCAATAATTTCATGAAGAAATTTTTCGCATTCAAACTTCTGAAATTAATAAGTAACCAATATCCAAAAACTTGCAATACAGTAAAATGGTAGGCAAGGATGATAGAGAAAATTAATGTGGACCATATATAATTTTGAAATAATTTCAGTAAGACTTCATTTACTTGGAAGCAAGTGTCATAAACTTGTTACAACTGTCTTTTGATGGTGTTATTTTCACGGTTGCTTACTTGTTACAGTAAGAGCATAAAAAAATTCCCATTCTCTCAGAATAAACATAAAAACCCACAAAATACGTCAATGTAGTATTTTTTTAGAAATTTATAATTAAAAAAA